ATTGAATTTGCTTTTAAAAGCAATTGGTACCTAAATTTGACTTTCTAGTAACATCATAACATCATATTTGTAGCAGATCTCAATCAGGTGTGTTGCCTTCTCTTGTGTAGACAGGGAAGATGCTTACAGGAGGAAAGAATGGAGGAAGCTGATGGATATGCTCAAAAATCTGATCCTGCTGATCCATAGACTGAGGGTAGGAAGTTGACCAATCCGTATTGCTCAAATACTGGGTTATCAGACGTGTGAATCCTTTGGTGGATAATATAGCTCTTCTAAAGTGAAACTCCAGCTGAAATTTTTTTTCTCTTTTTATAGATTAAGGACGGTTAAGAAGGAGTAATCTCAATGTCTCTATTTCAGGTTGTTTAAGCTTCCAGATTTAACAAGACCAGTGAATGTATGACCAAACTCACATACCTTGATCTGTCAAAGACTTTTTTCAATAAATAAGTCTTTAGATTTACCCTGCAGGTGACTCTAATCCGAACTTGTCCTGATGAAATCTAAGACATGGACAATCTTGTAACAATTGCGAAATTTCAAATGCCTTTTGAACAAGCATCTGCATAATATTCTACATATTTAGAAAGAGTTGCTTAGAGTAATCTGTAACAGCTTCAGTAAGAGTTGTGTGCTATTTTCTTGCATGATCTTTGATGGGACTCTTTCTTTAAGCTCTGACAATATTGAAATTACCTGTTCGTAAATAGAAGTAAAGAGCTTAGCTGAAAGCTCTCAAAAGCCATTTAAACTGTTGCAGAGACATCAGTGAAAATACAACTAATGTTGAACAAAGAGGCTTTATTTAGCTGAATAATCATTCAGCAATATCTCTGGGTATCGTAATATGACCCACTTTTACTCACTTCCTACTTGTTTTCCTAGATTAACCAGAAAGATGAAGCTTGTGTACTGTAATTAGCATCTTTTCCTCCTTTCCTGTAGCGAGCTGCAGTGTTCTGCTAATGAACAAGGGAAAGGTGTGCTTGTTAACCAATGCCTACTTGGCTTAACAGTTACAGAAAAAGAGGAGCATTATTTCTGTGATGATATGATTCATTTGTTAAAAGAAATGTTTCTATTAGCTGTAGTAGCAACTGAGAACAGTAATATGCTATTCTGATAATTGCACAGCCTCTGGAGACTGCAAATTTAATTCCCATATGCAGCAGAAGAGCAAAGATTTAAACCTTGAAACTCTCAGGGTTAAAAACCTTCTGCTGTTGTTAACTGCCCAATCCTTATTGCCACTGACTCTTGGGAAAGGTTCAGCATGCATGGGTATTAAAGTGGGGCATATATATATATATATATATATATATATATAATTTTGATTTGCTTCATTTTTATAAGACTATTCTGGTAGCAGTGGTGCTGTATTGTAGAGGCTGCCATAATTTTCAAGTCCTTTATACAAACGTAGCCACAGTGTATGATATTCCCATTAATGAAAAGTTCAGATACAGCTGATGAAAAGCAGCTGCCATCTTGATAGTTGCCATGGCAGATGGCATCAGCCTTTACGCTTTTTTATCAGTATTAGTATCAGAACATTTTCTCTCTCTTCCAAGCTGAGATAAAATCATTGAAGCTCTACATGGAAAAAATCTGATCTATACTGGTGCAGGCCCCATATATACAAAATCCAAGCTGGCATGCTTTCTGATTCTTATCTTTTCTGTTCTTCATTATTTTTTTAAAGACAGCTCTAGAATTAAAGGACCATTAAAACACAATACCTAATAAAGTAAAAGAAAAGATGACTTTACACAAGATAAGGCTGCCACACACAGCAAATTGCTTTACTGCAGTCATGTAACTTTTTTGCAGAGCATTGCGCCCAAGCTATCATATCACCTTTGGAGTGATCTGCCGAACTGGAAATTCACAGTGAGAGGCTGTTCTCTCCTGAATCAGCAGGGAATATCTGGGAACAGGCTAAACTACACACATCAACTGACATGACTTATAGTGGATCATTTTGATGGGTGAATAGGCTATTTCCCCTTAGTGTATTATTTAGAATTAAACAGAGATTTCCAGTGCCAGGGAAAGGTCCTGAGGCATCCAAGGTGGAGATGGATGAAACATGCATGTTCTTGTGTGTAGTGACTGGGCCAGGGCAGAAATGACAGCTGTAAAATTACAATTCAGATCTTTTGGTAAAACAAAAGGGTTGAAGCAAAATAGAAGGGTCAGGGGGTATGCTTAAATTATTAAAATTTTGTCATAATAGGTATGAAAAAACAGAACAAAGATTAATTAGCATAATAATCAAAACTTGATATAATATAATTTTTCAAAATAGTGCAGCGCTAACCTACATAAATCTCAAAATAATAAAATATAATAGTGCTACAATAAATGAAATCACTATGGGTGACAGTTAGAGATGAGCGAATTATTCAAAAATTTGATTCGGCTGATTCGCCGAATTTGTGGAATAAATTCGATTCGATGCGAATTTATTCGCTGCGAATTTAACTTATAAAAAGGGTTTCTAGGCTTCAGAGAGCCTTTATATTAGTGCAGAACACTGTACCTTTAATTTAAATGCCCTTGGAGTCTGCTGGGGAAGAGAAATAATACTGTCAGTCAGTATGACATGCAGATGAGTGCCGTCGATCTTAGAATCACCGCACACTTCACTCATTTGGGCAGTCACGGGGCCAAAACCAGAGTGTGGAGCCACAGTGTGGCGGTGGAGGCAGCAGCAATGGGAGGCCATACAGCACCCTATGACAAAATGGAACCCACCAGCAGTGTGAGGAGACCTGAAAGTGGCACATGGCAGAGTGTGGCGATGGAGACAGCAGCAATGGGAGGCCGTACAGGGACCCATGACACACTCTGGACCTGGCAGCAGCATGAGGAGGCGGTACAGGGGCCCATGGCAAGAAGAAGAAGAAGAAGAAGATGAGGATGAGGATGAGGATGAAGAAGAAGAAGAAGTAGGATGAGGATGAAGAAGAAGAAGAAGAAGAAGAAGTAGGATGAGGATGAAGAAGATGAAGAAGAAGAAGTAGGATGAGGATGAAGAAGAAGAAGTAGGATGAGGATGAAGAAGAAGAAGAAGAAGAAGTAGGATGAGGATGAAGAAGAAAGAAGAAGTAGGATGAGGATGAAGAAGAAGAAGAAGAAGAAGAAGAAGAAGAAGAAGTAGGATGAGGAAGAAGAAGAAGAAGGAGAAGAAGAAGAAGTAGGATGAGGATGAAGAAGAAGAAGAAGAAGAAGAAGTAGGATGAGGATGAAGAAGAAGAAGAAGAAGAAGAAGTAGGATGAGGATGAAGAAGAAGAAGTAGGATGAGGATGAAGAAGAAGAAGAAGAAGTAGGATGAGGATGAAGAAGAAGAAGAAGAAAGAAGTAGGATGAGGATGAAGAAGAAGAAGAAGAAGTAGGATGATGATGAAGAAGAAGAAGAAGAAGAAGGATGAGGATGAAGAAGAAGAAGAAGAAGAAGTAGGATGAGGATGAAGAAGAAGAAAGAAGTAGGATGAGGATGAAGAAGAAGAAGAAGAAAAAAGAAGAAGAAGAAGTAGGATGAGGAAGAAGAAGAAGAAGAAGAAGTAGGATGAGGATGATGAAGAAGAAGAAGAAGAAGAAGTAGGATGAGGGTGAAGAAGAAGAAGAAGAAGTAGGATGAGGATGAAGAAGAAGAAGAAGAAGAAGTAGGATGAGGATGAAGAAGAAGAAGAAGAAGAGGATGAGGATGAAGAAGAAGAAGAGATGAGGATGAAGAAGAAGAAGAAGAAGTAGGATGAGGATGAAGAAGAAGAAGAAGAAGTAGGATGAGGATGAAGAAAGAAGAAGAAGAAGGATGAGGATGAAGAAGAAGAAGAAGAAGAAGTAGGATGAGGATGAAGAAGAAGAAGAAGAAGAAGAAGAAGTAGGATGAGATGAAGAAGAAAGAAGAAGAAGAAGTAGGATGAGGATGAAGAAGAAGAAGAAGAAGAAGAAGTAGGATGAGGATGAAGAAGAAGAAGAAGAAGAAGAAGAAGAAGTAGATGAGGATGAAGAAGAAGAAGAAGAAGTAGGATGAGGATGAAGAAGAAGAAGAAGAAGAAGAAGAAGAAGTAGGATGAGGATGAAGAAGAAGAAGAAGAAGAAGAAGGATGAGGATGAAGAAGAAAGAAGAAGAAGAAGTAGGAAGAAGAAGAAGAAGGAAGGATGAAGAAGAAGAAGAAGAAGAAGAAGGATGAGGATGAAGAAGAAGAAGAAGAAGTAGGATGAGGATGAAGAAGAAGAAGAAGAAGTAGGATGAGGATGAAGAAGAAGAAGAAGAAGTAGGATGAGGATGAAGAAGCAGAAGAAGAAAGTAGGATGAGGATGAAGAAGAAGAAGAAGAAGTAGGATGAGGATGAAGAAGAAGAAGAAGAAGAAGAAGAAGTAGGATGAGGATGAAGAAGAAGAAGAAGAAGTAGGATGAGGATGAAGAAGAAGAAAGAAGAAGAAGTAGGATGATGGATGGTGAAGAAGAAGAAGAAGAAGAAGAAGAAGTAGGATGAGGATGAAGAAGAAGAAGAAGAAGAAGAAGAAGTAGGATGAGGAAGAAGAAGAAGAAGAAGTAGGATGAGGAGGAAGAAGAAGAAGAGGAAGAAGTAGGATGAGGATGAAGAAGAAGAAGAAGAGGAAGTAGGATGAGGATGAAGAAGAAGAAGAAGAAGAAGAAGAAGTAGGATGAGGATGAAGAAGAAGAAGAAGAAGTAGGATGAGGATGAAGAAGAAGAAGAAGAAGAAGTAGGATGAGGATGAAGAAGAAGAAGAAGAAGTAGGATGAGGATGAAGAAGAAGAAGAAGAAGAAGAAGAAGTAGGATGAGGAGGAAAGAAGAAGAAGAAGAAGAAGAAGAAGAAGAAGTAGGATGAGGATGAAGAAGAAGAAGAAGAAGGATGAGGATGATGAAGAAGAAGAAGTAGTAGGATGAGGATGAAGAAGAAGAAGAAGAAGAAGTAGGATGAGGATGATGAAGAAGAAGAAGAAGTAGGATGAGGATGATGAAGAAGAAGAAGAAGAAGAAGAAGAAGAAGTAGGATGAGGATGAAGAAGAAGAAGAAGAAGTAGGATGAGGATGATGAAGAAGAAGAAGAAGAAGAAGTAGGATGAGGATGAAGAAGAAGAAGAAGTAGGATGAGGATGAAAAAGAAGAAGAAGAAGAAGAAGAAGAGGATGAGGATGAAGAAGAAGAAGAAGAAGAAAGAAGAAGTAGGATGAGGATGAAGAAGAAGAAGAAGAAGAAGTAGGATGAGGATGAAGAAGAAGAAGTAGGATGAGGATGAAGAAGAAGAAGTAGGATGAGGATGAAGAAGAAGAAGAAGAAGAGAGAAAGAAGAAGATGAGGATGAAGAAGAAGAAGTAGGATGAGGATGATGAAGAAGAAGAAGTAGGATGAGGATGAAGAAGAAGAAGAAGAAGCAGGATGAGGATGAAGAAGAAGAAGTAGGATGAGGATGAAGAAGAAGAAGAAGAAGGATGAGGATGAAGAAGAAGAAGAAGAAGAGGAAGCAGGATGAGGATGAAGAAGAAGAAGAAGAAGAAATAGGATGAGGATGAAGAAGAAGAAGTAGGATGAGGATGAAGAAGAAGAAGAAGAAGAAGAAGAAGAAGAAGGATGAGGATGAAGAAGAAGAAGAAGAAGAAGAAGAAGTAGGATGAGGATAAGAAGAAGAAGTAGGATGAGGATGAAGAAGAATTCCAGTGCAGCAAAAAGTGTATCTGCAGAGAGCTCCGCTATTTCTGACAGTTCTCTGACAGTTCCTTCACATTTACAGTGGTTGAAACATTGTATCTATTTGTTTCCGAATAAAAACATCTGTATCCTAAATGGAAACAAATAGATACAATGTTTCAACTGCTGTAAATGTGAAGGAACTGTCACAGAACTGTCAGAAATAGCGGAGCTCTCTGCAGGGACACTTTTTGCCGGCTGTAGAAGGGATGAAAATCGGCCGATCGGGGAAAATTCGATTCGATTCGCATCCGAAGTTTGCTAATATTCGGATTCGGCGCGGATCAAGTTTTTCCTAATATTCGAAACGAATTCCACTTCGCCAGGTTCGATTCGCTCATCTCTAGTGACAGTATATAAATAAATACATAATATATAAATTGACCAATTCAATGTGACCTATGGTCACATAAGTGACCTAACTAAAGTGTAAATCCAACAACACAAATGTGAAATCATTCTGGTGTATATATAATAATAAAATCTAATGATGAAACATAGACCCCTATATACAGGAGATATCACACAAAAGTGTCAATGTGATCACACTACAAATCCCCAAAAAATTAAAGTCTCTAATAGTTCATGCATATATATACATAAGTGCTTAAAACAACGGTATCACCCCGAGGAAGTCACGAGGTTTAGTGATGTAACGCGTAGGTATGCCGTGATGCAGCTTCCGGTGCACGGTGACGCACATCCGGCGTTGGACGCCATCTTTGAACACCCTGAAAGCCCCTAATCCATGCAGTACACCCAAGCATGAGGATATATGCGTGTTTTCTCTCTACAAAATGTGAGTGGGCATTTATTCTTATTAATAAAGGAGATTTATTAATATAATACTACACTATAGAGGTTATTGGTGAGAAACATATTTAGCAGACTCATCTTTCCTGAGTGGTCTGGAGTATCTGGCTTAATACCTGGGAGAGGTACTACAGGTGAAATATTATCAGCCAGGATTGGAGTAGGATCTAGGAGTGATCCTGAAAGTGAAGTGGCCCATTGGGTCGCCTAAAGGAGGTGAGGAGGCAATCTATCCACTGTGGATAGAGTGTGCTGACATTTACACGGATACCCTCACCATCAACACGTTGCATGTTTGTCCGTTGTTTTAAGCACTTATGTATATATATGCATGGACTATTTAATTTTTTTGGGATTTGTAGTGTGATCACATTGACACATCACTTTCGTGTGATATTTCCTGTATATAGGGGTCTATGTTTTATCACTAGATTTTATTATTATACGTATATGCACCAGGGTGATTTCACATTTGTGTTGTTGGATTTAAACTTTAGTTAGGTTACTTATGTGACCGTAGGTCACATTGGATTAGTCAATTTAAATATTATGTATTTATTTATATACTGTCACCCATAGTGATTTCATTTATTGTAGCACTATTATATTTTATTATTTTGAGATTTATGTAGGTTAGCGCTGCACTATTTTGAAAAATATTTTGACACTGTTAAGGTATCAGTTTGGAGTGCCAGCTGCTATATATTTTGCAGGGATCACTTCCTTTAAGCGCAGGAGGATTTATTTACATTTTTGATATAATATAACTCATCCTGAGTGAAATGGTATTCTGTGTCTTTTTTTTAAAGGCACAAAATTTATGTCTCTGCCACAAGAATTTTTACTGCAGGCTAGAAAACAAACCCCTTGGTGCTGGTGCCTCCTGGCTCTTTAGGGGTTTCAGATGCTGGGTGGTGGGTTGGGTTTGTGACCATGTGACCACCATGATTTGTGGTCACAGTGGTCACATATTTGGAAAGCTTTCGATTGCTAGTAGAGAGCGGGAGCTTTCTGTTAGCCGACAGTAACTATGCCAGGAGCACACATGGTGCACGCTCTCAGCACAGTTCTGTTTTTCTTTGAGTATGTATTTATATGCAGCCTCTCGGCATTAAGGCCCACCCATTGAGAGGCCAAGTTAAATAATTAGAATTAACAAGGGGATACACTTTTATTAATTCATTTTCACTAGGTTTACAAATCACACAAAACACTAATTTATGAAATATGGCTACAACCAGTGGCTTCGCTATGGGAGTGTGGACTGCACCCAGGTGACAACCGCTGGAAGGGGTGACACCAAGTCCCCAGAGCTCCAGGTCCTCACAGGCAAAGGTATGGTTGTCAATAACATAGATACCTAATAACAGTGCAGGGGGCCCTGTGCTAGTCTGCGTTTGAGGACCCCTGGCCACCTCTCCTCCCCCTCAGTCCTAGCTCTGTGTCATCCCCGGGCCAGATTCGCTGCCTTTTCTGACTCTGCTCTCCCCATGCCTGCCACAACCCACTGCATCATTGCGTATACTCCAGACCACAGAGAGTCTGTGAGAGCGCCACTTAATAGGAGGCAGGGCATCCACATAGTGAGTTAGAGGAGTGGGCCGGCCCGAACATTCCTGCCATTACAATTCACACCAGCCTAAATTACCAGTGTGAATGTAGCCACAGAGTTGCCACCTGTCTGGTTCATATACGCAAAATCATATGTAATGAGCGAGTTTTAATTTAAAAAAATGATTGAGGTGAGGTTTATGCATGTCTGTGAGAGTCCTACTTGTCCCACAGCAATCTATGCATATTTTATGGGTATAAGAATGCTTTTGTTTAAGCATGCCATTTTAAGCCTTTCTCACTGTTAAAGCAATTTACTCACACTCACTGTTTGCCGTGGCCTGCGTAGCTAAAGTGTTCAGGTTTGGCTTCAAGAAAAGGTGGCAACCCTAGCACCAAAGCTGGAACTAGGTGGGTGCTGGGGTGAGCTGCACACTGTGACCAAGCACTGTTGGCCCAAATCTATTAATTGGGGGGGAGGGGGGGTGACACCATATTTTACAGCAACAGGTGACACCAACCCTAGTGACACCGCTGACTACAGCTTTCATTTATAAATTAATGAAATACAGGACTGAGTTGTCACAATGAAAACAGCACTGCAGATTACACTGAGAAATCAGTGCTCCCAGTGTAATAACCTCTGTTTATCAGGAGCTTCTGATAAAATACAAGGACAGCTGTCATATGCACAGTAATATTGTAATATTGCAGTGTAAACAGTCATCAGGGCTGAATTGTCTTTTGACTGATTGGTCTTGCTGAGTGCAGGAGACAGCTGGAGAAAACAGATGTATAGGCTTCTGCCCCAACTCTGCCCTCTCCACCACAGTGCCCAAAGTGGGTGCCTTTTCTGCCTCTGGGTTGGCACAGCTCTGGTGATACAACACGGAGCTGCCATATGCAGCTCCGTGTTGTATACTGTGTAAACCCTTTTCTGAGTAATGACAGTAATGCAGTAGAAGACAAAGCTTTTCCTAGTAGAAATACATAGCGGTGGACAAGAGCAGAGACTTCCAAAAATGTTCTTGCACTCCCATTCAGGGTTGTGACTCATAGGTTGCACATGTCTAGGGCACAGATGACACCCCCAGCCTCCCACAGTTTAGTGCTTGGTGCTGGGCTGGCCATCACAATGCAGGGAAGGATTGCTTATCTTTGTGCGTGGTCAGCTTTTTAAAAAGTGGAAATTTGTACAAGGTAAAACAGCCTATTTTAAATGCTTCCTCCAAAGCTGAAGTGTTTCAATCTTTTTTTCTTTTTTTTCCTAAATACAGGGTTGATTAAAATCTGGTGTGCAGAGTTAAAAAGTTGCCCTACCCTTATGAATTTTCCCGTTATTATTTGTTTGCATGAAAACTCCTTCTATAAAAATATACTAATATTGACCATTTTTCCCACAAACATGGGGACTAGGCAGTGTTAAAAATACAGTACTGCTTTCAAATAATGGCTGTTAATTCTAAGGCGCTCCATGGTGCAATGGAATTCCTATTGATTTAAGAATAGATTTGCACTCAGACTAAAATGAGTTCATCACAGATAACAATATTACAAAATGAATAATGATTAGATACTTATTATTGCTGCCAAAAGAAGCACAGCAAACAATGAATGTATTGCGTTATATGTTCAATAATATTTGGACTGCCGCATATGTAATCCTTTTTCTTTTCCCTTTAAAAAGAAAAATACAAAATACAAAAAGTTCTTAGCCAAGTACATAGATAAACATTTTATTTTTTACCAGTGTGAGGATACTGTACAGTCAGTTATCTTATGTTTTATGAAATGCTTAAATCATGCCAACAATATTGTCAAAGGTAAGTCATATCAAAGCAGTTTCCTTCTTGTTCAGCTCAAAGTCTCTAGTGGCAAAATAGTGGTAGTGGAGTTCTTAAGCTGCTTCCTCCAACTTTCGCAGCCATAACTGCATTTAGCTTTCTTTTTTTTTAACTTAACAGGCTAAATATTATGATCAAGTTCTCATAAATTCTCCAGACAAGTGAACTGAGAAGTACTAGCAGGTGGTGTGAAGCTGGTGGTGCGAGCTTGGCTACCAATGTCAGCCTAAAGCCCAACTCATTAGTAAAAACTATGGCAGGGTGTATCCAAGGAACAGCAGCCAGTAGATTGTGTGATTGAAGCATCTTAAATAAATAAACAGCTAGCATAAATAACATTTTCATAGAGCATTACTATTACCTTGATAGGCCATTGCATAGTGTTGAATCATCCTATAGGTAACTATACACCACTAAAGCAAGAGAATGATTTTAGCATCTAGTGTCAGTCAGATCATATATGGGTTAAAAGAGCAATAAAAATCCCTTCCCATTGTCAGCAATTCTTGTGTTATCACAGGCAGAATGTTTATGACATGTTGGAAAATTTTTGCTAGACCTGTGAAGAGAAGGGAATCAAGCTTTCATCACTTGTACACTACATATGTCCATCAGCTGAGCTGGGAAGATGAATGCTGCAGGTCCCAGCAATGTGCAAATATTTCCAGAAAGAGCAGATGTCTCACCACCCATTGCTTTTGGTAAGACATCTGTCTGTCTGTGGTCAACCTATGAGATGAGATTCAAAACACCGTGCCATTTTAGGCTTTTAATGACATCTGTGGCCCTGAATCTGTGTGCTTAGACAGAGCTACATATCTGAGTACTGGAATTATATAAAGAAAATTCACCAGAAGACAGTATCAGGCAGGACAGCCTAAATCAAGTTGCTGTGGGCAAAAGGTGTGTAAACATTTATTTTCAGTTATGTAAGTTATATAATTGTCCTATTAGTAAATGGGATACCTGTTATTCCTTATTCATGTCAAAGAGAATTACTGACTGTGATTGGAAACCTTAGGGTAAAGGCATAAACAGCATTTTCTTTTCACAGGGA